CAGTCGGCTGACTTATTTATTTTATATCTGAAAGTTTGTACCTGTTGATTCCCTTTACCCATTTTGCCTACCTCTGAACACCCCTTCTCCTCTGGCAACCACCAATCTGTCATTTGTTGTGTTTTTTTTCTTATCCTCATTGGAGGACATTTTTGCATTCATCTTCAGATAGAGCAGGAGGGAGAGAGAGAGAGAGAGAAACATTGATGTGAGAGAGACGCATCGAGTGGCTGCCACCCACACAACCCCAACCGGGACCGGGTACAAACTGCAACCAAGATATGTGCCCTTAGCGGGAACCAAACCCAGGACTCTCTGGTCCGCGGGCTGATGCTCTAACCGCTGAGCCAAACCAGCCAGAGCCAATCTGTTATTTGTATATGAGCCTTTTTTTCAATGATTTTTAGAGAGGAGAGGAAGGGAGAGGGAGAGGGAAAAAAAACATTGATGTGAGAGAGAAGCACATCCTGCACACCCTCTATCGGGGATCAAGCCCCAACTGAGAATCGAACCAGTAACCTTTTGGTGCACAGGACGATTCCCAACCAACTGAGCCACACCTGACAGAGCTGTATGTGAGTTTTGTTCATTGTTTTTTTGTTGTTGTTTTAAGATTCCACGTATAAGTGAAATCATACAGTATTTGTCTTTTTCTGATTTATTTCACTTAGCATAATTCCCTTCAGGTCTGTCCATGTTGTTACAAATGACAAAATTTCCTTTTTTTTTTTTAATGGCTGAGTGTGTTTATCACATCACATCTTTTTTATTCACTCATCCACTAATGGGTATATTTAGGTTAACAAATCTTGGTTATTGTAAATAATGCTGCAGTGAATGTGGGAGTGCATGTATCTTTTCAAATTAGTGTTTTCATTTTCTTTGGATAAATACCCAGAAGTAGAATTGCTAGATCATATGGTAGTTCTATTTTTAATTTTTTGAGGAACCTTCATACTGTTTTTCATGGTGGCTGCACCAATATACATTCCCATCAGTAGTTCACAAAGGTTCATTTTTCTCCACATCCTTGCCAACACTTGTTATTTCTTGTCCTTTTGATACAGCCCTTCTGACAGGGCATGTGGTTTTGATTTACTTTTCTCTGATGACTAATAATGTTGAATATTTTGTATGTGCTTACTTAAGGCCTTTTGTGTATCTTCTTTGGAGAACTGTATTCGGGTTCTTTTGCCATTTTTAGATAAGCTATTCATTTTTTTATTACAGAGTTATAAGAGTTTCTTATATATTCTAGATACAAGTCCCCTATCAGATATGATTTGCAAAAGTTTTCTCCAATTCTGTGGATTGTCTTTCACTTTTCTTGATGCCTTTTGAAGCATAAAGTTTTTAGTTTTGATGTCTAATTTATCTATTTTGTTGTTATTGCTTGTCCTTTTGATGTCCTATCTTAAGAAACCATTGTGTAATCCGAGATTATGAAGATATACACCTGTGTTCTTCTATGAGTTTTATAGTTTTAGTTCTTACATTTCTGTCTTTGATATTTTTTGTATATGGTGTGAGGTAATAGTCCAATCTTAATCTTTTGACTAAGATATCTAGTTGTCCTAGCACTGTTTGTTGAAGACACTGTTTTTCCCCCATTTAATAGCATTGGCATCCTTGTTAAAAATCAAATGCCTATAAATGTGAGAGTTTATTTCTGGACTCTTAACTCTATTTTGTTGATTTCTGTCTATCCTTATGTCACTCTCTCGTGGTTTTAATTTGCATTTTTCTAAAGATTAATGATGAGTATCTTTCCAAAGGATTATTTTGCTATTTGTCTATCTTCTATGTTGAAGTACTCAAATCTCTTGCCCTATTTTTAAAAAATTGATTTTTGACTTACTGCGTCATAAGAGTAGTTATAGCAAACAAATATTTTGCACATATTTCTTTCTTTTTTAGCTTTGCTGTTCCATTTTCTTAACAATTTCTTTAATAGCACATTTGGGGGTAACATATTCTGCCACCATTCAGTGGATTGTTAAAGCCTTGTGAAATCAACTTGGCAACTGATTGGGCTTGAGAAGGAAAAAGATATTGGAGATAGTGATATAATTAATAGTAGGGAAGGGGTTGTCATTTTGGGATACGCATGGTCCTTGACTTATGATGGTTTGAGTTATGATTTTCAACTTTATGATGGTGCAAAAGCAATGTGCACTTAGGAGAAACCATACTTCAAATTTTAAACTTTGATTTTTTCCCTCCCCGCAGGCCGGCAATATATGTGGTACTATACTCCCTCATGTTGTTGAGTAGTGGCAGCAAGCTGTAGCTCCCAGTCATCCACATGATCATGAGGGAAAACATTTGATACTCTATAGTGTGGTATTAAATGCATTTTTGACTTACAGTATTTTCAACTTATTATGGGTTTATCATGATGTGACTTCATCATAAGTTGAGGAGCATCTGTATATTGAAATTGAGATTCCTGGTGACATCCATATAAAAATATGTTTTCTAGTCCCTCAACCTGGAAACTTTTATTTCTGGATCTTCTCAGATCTTGCTCACTTTGTCGTCATTCGGGTCTCAAATACTACCTCCTAAAATAAGACTTCCCTGATCATCTTATCTAATATTGCCCCTTCTAAACATCACTACCTATATATATTATACTGATGCAGGTATTTCTGAAGTCTGGGGACCCAAGGGCCTAAAACCCACTGTGCAGGAAGGAATTCAAACACAAACCAGCATAGAGTTTCAAGTGAAAGTGAGTTTATTAGTGAAGCAGTGAGACAGAATGGGCTAATCCACAGATAGAGCAGCCCCCCTTTAGCAGAATTTGCTTCCTTTGTTGAGGTTCACTTAATTGAGGGCCAGGGAATTCATTGAGGGGGAGAAATATTCAGTATTTTTCTGGAAAAGGGGTGGATATTTCTTAGAGGAGCTCTGTTGGCCATTTTGTGTCCTTATATAGCAGCGGTTCTCAACCTGTGGGTTGCGACCCCTTTGGGGGTTGGACGACACTTTCACAGGGGTCGCCTAAGAACATCAGAAAACACATATTTCCAATGGTCTTAGGAGCTGAGACACTGCTCCTTTGTCTCCAGGCGGGTCCACCCACATGCAGATACGCCCACATACAACATGAGGAACTGTATGAAAGGGTCGTGGCATTAGGAAGGTTGAGAACCATTGTTATATAGGCTTTCTGTTTCCAATCATGGCATGGCAGGGTATGTCATGTAGCATGCTAATATATTACAATGAGTGTATAATGAGGCCAGGACTTAACATTAGGTGAAATTAGTAGCCATGTTGTATCTAGTAGGTCTTTGCTGCTTATAAGCTATAAATCCAGTGTGTGTGGGAGTGTTCTTCCTTCTTTTTGACAGTTTCTGTAGCTTTTATTAATTGCAGTTGTTCTGCCACACACCCTATCTCAATATTACCCTGTTTTACTTTCTCTCTAGCTCTTTTTTTTTTTTTAATCCTCACCTGAGGATATTTTTACATTTATCTTCAGACAGAGATGGAGGGAGGGAGGGTAGGAGAGTGTGGGGGAGAGAGAGAAACATCGACGAGAGAGAGAAATATCGACATGAGAGAGAGACATCAATTGGTTGCCACCCACACAACCTCAACCAGGACCGGGGACAAACCGCAACCGAGGTATATGCCCTTAACCATCGGAATCGAACCCGGGACTCTGTGGTCCACAGGCTGATGCTCTAACTGCTGACCCAAACTGGCCAGGGCTCCATAGCTCTTTATCTAAAATCATCTTATTGTGTGTTTGCTTTTTTATTATCTGTTACCCCACCATAGCAGTTTTCAACATTTTCATCTCATGACACACATAAACTAATTACTAAAATTCTGCGGCACACCAAAAATGTATTTTTTGCCAATCTGATTTTTAAAAAAGGTATAATTTTGATTCATTCACACAAGACAGCTATTGTTCTGTTAGTTGTCATTTTTTAATTAGACACTGTAAGGGCAAAGAGGTCAGTGCCCTGACTAAATAGTCAGGTACAGTGTGTTTTAAAAAGTCTTGTGGCACACCAGTTGAAAATTGCTGCTCCACTAGAATGTAAGCTCCATTAGGACAAGATCCTGTTCTGTCTTGGTGTGCAATGTAGTGTCAACATTTCCCACTCTGAATTAGGTGTGGTTCCCCTCTGTCAAATTATCATTTTCTAAATTTATTGGCATCATTAACTATTCATAATGTTTAAAATTAATCCAGAAATTGTAGTTAAAACAAAGAACAAAACAAAAAACTGCATTTTATTTGAGTCTTAATCTAGAGGTCAAAAGTGTCATGAAAAATAATCTGCAAGCCCTGGCTGATGTGGCTCAGCTAGTTGGAGCATTGTCCTGTGCACCAAGAGATGGCAAGTTTGATTCCCAGTCAGGGCACATAACCAGGTTGTAGATTCAATCTTCAGTTGATCGATATTTCCCTCCCCCTCCCACCTCCCCCTTCTTTCCTCCCTTCCTCCCTTCCTCTCTCTAAGAGCAATAAAAAAGGATGCTATTTGCTCTGCCGGTTTGGTTCAGCGATTAGAGTGTCAGCCCTCAGACCAGTGGTTCGCCAGTTCGATTCTGGTCAAGGGTACGTACCTTGGTTGCAGTTCGTCCCCGGCTCTGGTCAGGTCATGTAGGAGGCAACCCGTCATTGTGTCTGTCTCACATCGATGTTTCTCTCTCTCCCTCCCTTTCATTCTATCTGATGAAAAAAATAAAAATAAAAAATAAAACCTATAAAAGGGTCTTACCCTTTTTCAAAACCTTTTAAACCAGTTATGTTTACCTCTTTCTCATCACTGATTTCAGGTAATTTATATTGATTTTAATGTACGTCCAATAGAGATTGGGAAGGGGTGCATTTTTACTACTTTATGCTAAGAAATCCTAGCCATCTGCAAACAGAATTGGATGTCATATTGAATTAACCTTTCCCTCCCACTCTCTCTCTCTAAAAAGCACTGCAGACTTTTATACTCGATTGTCTCTTTTCTGTTTTACAGAGTAAGAAAGCCTGAGTTCTGTGAAAAACCAGAGAAGAGACACTAAGAGAATAGTAGACAAGTCTTTCCAGTTTGCATAATGTAAGTTCTTTTCACTATTCTTGGCCTGAATCTTGTGTTAGCTGAAAAAGCTGTTTCTATGGAAACAAATAGTACAGCTTCTTAGAATGTCAGAGGAATGCCGATCACTTAAAATGAGACTTCCCAGCTGCTGGTCAAAGGGCATTACTTGTGGGAGAAGGGGAGGAATGATAAATTGAAAAAAAATCTAGAGTTCTGGACACTAGTGTCAACCAACCATGTTTATGCATATGAAGTGTGTTTTACATTTTCTTCTGTCTAAAAATTAGCATACTGATTATATAGGAAATTGTCTTCCTGCAAACCTGTCATGTTTCCCATCTCTCACACAAATAGTTCTGTTTCTTAGTGTGGAGTTTACAGTTGGCCAGTATTCATCACGCTATTTCACACCCCCCAATTTTAGTCTTTTGTATTTATTGAAGCTTATTTAGCATCTTTTTACCCCCTTTTCCTATACCTGATTCACATAAGCAAAGCCCTTTTTTCCCCACTAGTTCGAAGTTAGCACTGAAACAGCTTTGGCCTGCCAGCCTGAAAATTCATTTTCTTGCTTTGTGGACTATATAAAGAGTTTTGATTGATTGGTTTACTTATTTATTTCACAAAGGGATATGAACTGGGACTCTGATGAGGATTTGAAGTGTGGTCTTTTGAGGCATTTTAAAAACAATTTATTTATAATTAGAGGGTTGAGAAAAGAGAAATTACTGCTAGGGCTAGCAACTAGTATCTGCATTATCTGTATAAGATGGTTCATTGTTTACATATAAGGAGATAATTCTCTAGTTCAATCATTTACCAGCTTTTGAATTGTCAAATAAAGGATGTCTGTCTGTCTTTCCCTCCCTCCCTCCCTCCCTCCCTTCCTTCCTTCCTTCCTTCCTTCCTTTTTTAAATATATAGTGACTACATGTATAAGCTAGGACACAGCATAATATTTCTGATTCTGGAAGAACTTTTTGAATCTTCTATGGCCTTCATGAGTTAACTTGTGAGCATTATATTTTGAGTGTTGTATGGTGAGATTATTTAACTGAGGTGGTCTGGAAAATCTTATCGAAGGAATTGAGACTTGTGGTAGATCTTGAAGGTAGAAGAGGAAAGAAGAAGCAGTCCATATTTCTTAGTTCATAAGGCATTTAGGCAGGAAGAAAAAGCTACAAGATAGGCACAAATAGGAAGCAAACTTAGAAGACTTGTGCAAGAAAGTAGTAAAAGATATAGTTAGGAAGTTTGGGTTTACCTTGTAAGTTCAAACTCTATTCTGTAGGCAGTATGAAAGCTACCAGAGGTTCTGAACTGGAGTGATTTACTCATGTACTTAAATTAAGCATTTATCTCTTATTAGATATCAGGGCTGTAGAGATGAATAAGACAGATTCCTGCTGATTAGATAATTTACCTATGTGATCTACACTCATCTTGCAATTAATGTGTCCAAAACTAAACCCAAATGACCCTTCAGTTTCTTGCCCCTTCTATCTAATTCTCCCTTTCCTATATTCTCAATCTTAGTTAATGATATTGCCATCCACCTACTGATCCAAAGATAGTGGCTCTGGAGTCACACTGGTTTCATATCCTGAAGCCTGCTGTTTTTCCCTGTGCTGGGTAGTGTCACAGGTCCAAAGATGAGTCAGCCTGGTTTCTGACCTCTAATGGCTTCTAGTTTGATGGGCAGACAGACAGAGATACAAATAGTCCAGTTGTAGTCCAGTTTGATCAGGGATGTGACAGGGATTGTGGGATTCCAGAGGAGTTGCATCTGTAGTTTGGGGAGTCACACCTGTAGTTTAGGGAGTCATGGAAATCCAGAGGAGGATGTATTTGAGTTGAGACTTAAAAAGAGAGTAGGCAAGGATTAGATTCTTCCCAGTCTGATTCTGGAGCCTGTTCTTTTAAGCATTCTACTGTCTTGGGTAACTGGGTGGATCTAGTGGCGTTAATTAGGACTGAGAATGGAGGAAGAGGATCAAGGAGACCATGAGAGGATTAAAGGGAAATATAAGTTTAAAGGGAAATATGAGTTTAATTCTGGACACATGAATTTTTAGATCCCTGTAGGACATTTTGGAAGGTAGACTAATAGGCAGGATCTTGTCTCTCTAACCCTAGTACCTAGCCAGGGATAAATGTTCGATTAAAGTTATATACACATCACCCCTCTTTTCTAAATCTTTGATGGCTTTTCTATTGCTTTGAAAATTAAGGACTTATATTTAAGACCTTTTGTAAGTTGAACCCAGTCAAACTTTCTAGCCACTATCCTATTGTATAAGCTAACTACTTAGTTTAGTTAGCCTTATTTATATTTTTTCCACACCTTTTATCTTCCTGCCTTTGGCTCATTTGGTTTCTTCCTTATTCTTCCATCCTATCTTCAGGGCCTGCTTTGGAACTTATTCCTCATCTACAAAACAAACATATTTAGACTTACTTTTACAATTGTAATGAGGATTAAATGAATGAATACTGTATAGTGCTTGTGATATTGTGCAGCACATAAGTGCTCAGTAAATGTTATAATTGAAGTTATTACTACTATTATATTTCTTTCTTCTTCTTGCCCTGCCATATGGAATAGACATCAAATTCTAATACTTCTATAACTTATATGTTTCTTTAATACAATTTTTCTTCATTTCACTGTCTTAGTTCAGGACCACATTTCTTTTTTCTTTTTTAGTATGTGCCCTTAGCGGAAACCGAACCCGGGATTCTCTGGTCCTCAGGCCAATGCTCCAACCGCTGAGCCAAACCAGCCAGGGCAGGACCACATTTCTTTTTTGAAATTTATTTTTTTTATCCTCACCCGAGGACATTTTTCCATATTTTGTTTAGATAGAGTGGAAGGGAGGGAGAGAGAGAGAGAGAGAGGAACATCGACGTGAAAGGGACACATCGAGTGGTTGCCACCCACACGACCCAACCAGGGCTGGGGACAAACTGCAACCTTGGTACATGCCCTTAGCGGGAACCAAACCCAGGTCTCTCTGGACTGCAGGCCGATGCTCTAACCGCTGAGCCAAACCGGCCAGGGCAGGACCACATTTCTTATTGCCTTCAACCTGGTCTCATTGCCACCCTTTAGTCAATCTTCTACACTTCTACCAGAGTGATATTTCTCTAAAAGTGAATGTGATCATACCATCCCCTGCTTTAATTCCTGTAATAAGTCTTACTACTTTCGGGATAAAGGTCAAAGTCTTTAGCTCTTAAACTCTTCTCAGTCTTCCCCCTTGCCTTTTCAGTTTTATCATTATTCATGCATGACATGCTTCCATTGTCCCATTCAGCTTGATTGCATTCTGTTCTGTTTTTTAAGTGCCATACTCTCATCCTCTTTCTTCCTATTGGTCATGTGATTCCCTCTGCATGGAACAGTCTTCTGTCTGGCTTATATTTAGTTCTTTGAAATGCCTTTTAAGGAAATGCATCCTTATATTCGGAGTGTTTGCTGTGACTCCTTATCACAGACTAAATTTTAGGGTCCTTTGTGCATCCTCTGTGAATTTATGGCATTTTGAAGTTTAGTTAAACAAATATTTATCGGGCATTTCCTATGTTACATTTATTATGTTAAGCACTGGTGGGGGGGGAGTATAAAAATAAGTCTGTCTTAACAAGATTAGAATATAATGAGGAGAAACCAACTGGGGAAAAATAATCATTCATTTTCTTTTTATTTATTTTATTTTTATTGTTGAATGTATTACAGATGTTCCTCATTTTTCCCCCATTGACCCCCTCCTCCCCACTCACGCCCCGATCCTGCCTTTCCCCACATTGTTGTCTGTGTCCATTGGTTATGCATATATGCATATAAGTTCTTTGGTTTATTTCTTTCCATCCCCCCCCAAGCCCCCCTTCCCTTTGAGGTTTGTCAGTCTAGTAACCAATTTGTTCTTCTTAATCCCTTCACCTTTTTTACCCATTCCTCCAACCCCTCTTCCATCTGGCAACCAACAAAATGTTCTTTGTATCTATGAGAATGCTTCTGTTCTGCTTGTTCATTTTGTTTGTAGATTCCATTATCGGTAGATATGTATTCATTGCCATTTTGTTTGTTCATATGTTTTATCTTTTTCTTCAAAAAGACCCTTCAACATTTCATATAATATGGTTTGGTGGTGACGAACTCCTTTAACTTTTTCTTGTCTGGGAAACTCTTTATATGGCCATCGATTCTAAATGACAGCTTTGCAGGCTAGAGTAATCTTGGTTGTAGGTTCTTGCTTTTCATCACTCTGAATATTTCTTGCCACTCCCTTCTGGCCTACAAAGTTTCTTTTGAGAAATCAGTTGACAGCCTTATGGGAACTCCCTTGTAGGTAACTAACTGCCTTTCTCTTGCTGCTTTTAAGATTCTCTCTTTGTCTTGAACCTTTTGCATTTTGATGATGATGTGTGTTGGTGTGGGCCTCTTGGGGTTCATCTTGTTTGGGACCCTCGCTCCAATGCTTCCTGGACTTGTATGTCTGTTTCCTTCACCAAGTTAGGGAAGTTTTCTGCCATTATTGTTTCAAATAGGTTTTCGATTTCTTGTTCTCTCTCTTCTTCTGGCACCCCCAAGATGCGAATGTTGGCACGCTTGAAGTTGTCCCAGAGGCTCCTTACACTCCTCATTTTTTTGGATTCTTTTTTCTTTTTGCTGTTCTGATTGGGTGTTTTTTGCTTTCTTATATTCCAAATCGATGGTTTGCTTCTTGGCTTTACTTACTCTACTACTGAATCTCTGTAAATTATTCTTTATTTTAGTTAATGCCTCCTTCATTTCTGACTGGTCCTTTTTTATGCTCTTGAGGCCCTCACTAAGTTCACTGAGGGGGAACTTAGTTCATCGAGCATCTTTATAAGCAGTATTTTGAACTCAGCATCTGTTAGGTTGCTTATCTTCATTTCACTTAGTTCTTTTCCTGGAGATTTTTTCTGTTCTTTCATTTGGGACCTGTTTCTTTGTCTCCTCATTTTGGCTTCCTCCCTGTGTTTGTTTCCATGTATTACTTTACGGGAGGTATGGAGCTAGCTGAGACGAGATGCTGCTCATTTGAAAGAATTTAGGAAAACCTGAAGCAGGATCCAAGACAGGCCAATCCTATGGTAAAGGAACTGGCAACAGCTTGGGTGGGCCTGAAAGTTGGGTGGGGCGGGGCCTCAGGGAGTCACCAGGGCGGGGCAAACAGTGTGAGCCAGGTTGCTAGAGTCCCAGATATGGCGACTGTCTGCAGCCCCAGGGAAGGGCTCACCAAAGGAACAAAGGCCTCCAACAGCATGTCTGTCCCGGAGAAAGCCCCCTCTCCAGCCCTGGCTCCAATGCCAAACAGCTCAGTTCTTCCCTATATGTCTCTGGCTCCTCTCTAGCTGCCTCCCCTCCAAGCTTAGAGGGAGTGAGTCCGATAAGTCCCTGTGCGGGCCCTTTAAGGAGCTGCCTGGGGCTCCAGCTGCCTCAGCCTCCCTGAGCCTCAGTTCCCACTGGTTTTTCCAGCCAGAAGTTATGGGGACTTCTCTTCCTGGCACTGCAACCTTGAGCGGGATGCCTGGTGTGGGACGGGGACCCCTCAGTCCTCAGGGAGGACCTTCCCAGCCGAGGTGTCCTCCTGATTTTTATCCGTCACACGTGGGTGTGGGACCAGCCCGTCGCGCCTCTGCCCCTCTGCCCCTCCTACCAGTCTCGGTGTGGCTGCTTCTTTAATTCTGTAGGACTTCCATTCAGCTTGATGTCAGGCGGTTTTGAATGATGGTTTTCTGTTGTTTAGTTGTAACTTTGATATGGTTGTGGGAGGACGCGATACTGCATTTGCCTATGCCGCCATCTTGACCGGAAGTCTAATCATTCATTTTCTTTGCTGTCTCTCACAATAGAATATGAACACTTCAAAGGAGATGACCAAAACTGAATTTTAAGTGGATTAATACCAGGTTGCAGAAATATTTCTGGGCGTCAAAGGCTAGATCAGGTAGATAAGCATAATAGTGCAAGCGTGAGAACTTACTAAGATCGCCTGGCCCAGCCTCTTACATGATCTACAATTCCTGCCCCCATGATCTAGTGGAGTGAATATGGACATAGCCTTATAGTTTTTAGGCTGACAGTTTTTTGTTTTTTTAAACTACTGAGGACATTTTTGCATTTATCTTCAGATAGAGTGAGAGGGAGAGGGGAGGAAGAGAGAGAGACATAGATGTGAGAGAGACGCATTGACTGGTTGCCACCCATATGACCACAACCGGGCTGGGGACAAACTGCAACTGAGGTATGTGCCCTTAGGGGGAACTGAACCCAGGCCTCTGTGGTCCACGGGCCGACGCTCTAACCGCTGAGCCTAACCGGCCAGGGCAAGGCTGACAGTTTTATTTTCAGATCATAATTTCTGTAGATTATTACATAAAGTAAAAAATACATTATTATTAAGTTTGATTTTTAATATTCGGTAAATATTGTAAATAGAGAAAGTTGAGAGTTTTAATTTTCTGGAAATACACGCCTAGATTTTTAAAATTAAAATTAAGCACAGCACTATTGTAACTCCTACACAAATTTCTGCTTACTTGTAATGAAAACATCCAATAAGCTGAATTTGCATTTGCACAAATTAAAATATAAAATCTTAAGAATTGCCTAATATAATTCTGATAGGTGTTATTTTAATAAAAAGGAAGGCAATCTACTGATAAATAAGGTATTTATGTGTAGACCACATGGTTATATTTAAAAAAGAGAGAAGCTAAGATTTGGATAGAAGACAGAAAAATCTCTCAAAATTCTTGTGAAATGTAATTCTAGTGGCTCATCTAGTTTGCATCTATTTTCCTGATTGTTGGCCTAGTGGTTTCCCTGGTAGTTTAGGTGGGTTTGTGTTAAGCAATCTGTGACAAGATGTTTGAGAGAAGATTGGCTGGTATTAGGAACGTTGTCTGAAAATTCAGCTTTTGCTTAGTAGACAAGTGCTATAACAAAACAGACAAGTGATGTTTTCTGAAATGATGCTCAACTCAAGGAGGTACTAGGTTTATTACTGTAAATATTTTTAAAGTCTTGAGCAAAAGAAGACTAATTAGATTTCATGTGTGGGTTTTCACATATATAAACAATCTGCCTTTTTATGCCCAAGAAATGGCTTCGTGAAAAGCCAGTGTCATCCAGTAAAATATTTTTCTTGTCTAAAAGATCTTTGTTGATGAACTTTTAAAATACAAGAATCAAATTAATACTAAGAAGTAATACAAGTATATATTTTATAGTTTTAAAACATGCTACATTATCTCATTTAAAACTCAGAACAATCCTGTAAATATATTTTCCAAAGGAATCTGAGGTTCAGAGAGAAAAACTGACTTGTCTTAGATCAGAAAGCTAGAGAAAGTGTCAGAGCCAGAATTAAAATTCAGTTTTCTGGTCTCCAAGTCTAATATGTTCTTATTTTCTGTACAGTATGGCTTTAAAAAAATTGGTGAGTGGTAACAGGTACCGTTTTCTCTGAATGAATTTTCATAAAGAATTAACCCTAATTCTTCTGTTAATGTGACCAGTTATAGACACTAATAACCCACATAGTCTTTTTCTTACTGAAGGTAGTTTTATTCTGTAGATGCCTTAGCTGTTAATTAAAGTTTCTTCTTCATTGGGTATCTTCTTTATCTTTTAAACTCCTAAAAGTGGATTGTTCCCAGAATACTACCTTTACCTCAAGTGAGTCACCAACGTGACATGTTATATGCCAGTTTCTTTGGCAGTTACTAGGAAGTTATTTTAATCTTGTGTATATTAATTGAGTGTTAAGTACTGTATTGAGACAAGTATACAAAAATGACTTAAAAATCTTTTTACCTTAAGCAACCTGTTCTTTACTAAACTAGTACCCAAAACTTTCTTACTTTCCCATTTTGCTAAACCTTCCTGTACATCATTTTTTCAGTTTTAAAATAACAGTATGCTTCTAATTTTGGGGAAGGGGCCTTTTGGGGGGGGGGGTACACCTTGATTTTTTTCTCAGCATTATCTATAAAATGAAAGGAAAGTACTTAATCTAATATTATATACTTATGGGATATTTTCTGTAATGTATAGGGATTAGAAGTGGGCTATGTAAAGTCTTTTATATTGTAATTCTTACACTTTTTTCCTTCATCTTTCCCCTTAGATTTCCTTCATGGATACATTTTTATAGCATTAATGTGTGATGTGAGAAGTTTTTTGTTTTTGTTTTTTTTGAAGTAACATGGATTTTATACTACAGAACCAAGAGATTGGCTTTATAGGAAAAATTGATTTATAAAAAGTGGTACAGGTTTTTATAGATAACCATGACAACATCCCATATGAATGGGCATGTTACTGAGGAATCAGACAGCGAAGTAAAAAATGTTGATCTTGCATCACCAGAGGATCATCAGAAGCACCGAGAGATGGCTGTTGACTGCCCTGGAGATTTGGGCACCAGGATGATGCCTGTACGTCGAAGTGCGCAGTTGGAGCGTATTCGGCAACAACAGGAGGACATGAGGCGTAGGCGAGAGGAAGAAGGGAAAAAACAAGAACTTGATCTTAATTCTTCCATGAGACTTAAGAAACTAGCCCAAATTCCTCCAAAGACTGGAATAGATAACCCTATATTTGATACGGAGGAAGGAATTGTCTTAGAAAGTCCTCATTATGCTGTGAAAATATTAGGTAAGTAAAAACAGCAGAGTAATAGATGTTTTGCTTTTATTTCTCTTGCCTTAACATAAATGTGTATAGAAAGGAAGAAGAGTATAAGAGAATGTAAATATCGCATTTTGAAATCAATCCAAGACACTTCTTTTCTTGGAAAGGTCATATAACCATCATTGTTTACTATTAGCCATGTAGAGTTAATGCATATGGTTTAAATATTCCAGTTTCTACAACATAGTTTTTAGATATAATCTTTGAATTAAAAAATTCTACATGTGCCTGGCTGATGTGGCTCAGTGGTTGAGCATCGACCCCGTGTACCGGGAAGTTGCCTCTTTGATTCCCAGTCGGGGCACATGCCCAGGTTGTGGGCCAAATCCCCAGTGAGGGGCATGCAGGCAGCGGCCAATCGATGTTCTCTCTCATCGATGTTTCTCTCTCTCTCTCTCCCCCTCTGTCTCTAAAATTAATAAAGAAAAAAAAGTTTTTTAATTGGAAAAAGGTTTTAAAAAAACAAAATTCTACATGTGGCCTAATAGTTAAAGTCTTGAAATTTCACCTTTTATCTCAGACTCTACTTTTATATCAAAATTACTCAAAAGCAATTTTCAGATTTTTTTAAGGTTTGTAAAATAGTAATAAAATTAATATCTGTAGCTTAAAATCTATTTGATTTTAATTAATACCAAAGGAACTGGTGCTGTTTATATGGCATCATACACATAAAACATGGCCAAAATTCCCTATACTATTTATTCCTAGTTCCGTTCTTTGAAAAAAACAACAGCAAAATGTAGTGCTGTGAGATTTTAATAGACGTAAACCAAAAGATGTTCTGTGATCAAATAAATTTTGAGAGCAGTGGGTTAAATAAGTTAAACAGCTTATTATAGGACTTCTTAGAGCCTTTAGAATGTTGATAGGCATTATGAATCTACAGTAGAGATGTCAAATGTAAATTTCCCAACTTAGAATATTTGATTATTGAACTTACTGCCCTTTCTTTTTGTGCGTGCGTGCGCACACACACACGAGTGATCACTGAATTAGTGTTAGGAGTATACATTAATTTGTGTTCTCTTAGATGCTGTAGTAAACACCATTCTCTGTAATATCCACAATAATCCTGTCAACAGGATTCTGTAATCACCATTTTGGAAATAAATAAATTGAACCTCTGTTAAATCACCTGTTTAAGACTCCAAGCTAATAAAGGGTAGAGCCAAATTTGAATTTCCCTGATCTGGACATGTAGTTGGTATACTGCACAGAGCAAAGGGTTTGAGTGGAGACTGACATCCTACCTGTTCTTCACTCACTGGACCAGAGCTCTGGCTACCAAGAGTGGAATACCTTTTTTTTGTTTCTATTACATCACATCGTCTGCTGCTTTTCTTTGCTGAAGTTTATTAAGGATCCACATTTCTTTACAGAAAGCAATGTGCATGCTTCTTTAATGTTTGAAGAAATCATTGATGTGTTCAGTGATAGTGAAATCTGATAAATGCCTTCAGATGTAATAGTGAAAGCAGAAAGATTACATATTTTTAATACATTTATCTGAACAAATTTTATGCTCTTTTTTTTCTTGAGAGTTTTGTTAGAGTAAACATTTTATTCCCAATGGACTTTTACTGGCTCTCATATCCCACAACCCCTCCCCCCTTTTTTATCCTCACCCGAGGACATTTTTGAATTCATCTTCAGATAGAGCGAGAGGGAGACAGGGAGGAAGAGAGAGAGAAACATCAATGTGAGAGAGACACATCGACTGGCCGCCACCCACACGAATCTAACTGGGGCTGGGAACAAACTGCAACTGAGATATATGCCCTTAGCGAGAACCAAACCCCAGTCTCTCTGGACCACGGGCCGACGCTCTTACCACCCCATTTTTAAAAAAATTAAAATATCCTGTCTATATGCTCTATGGACTTGGAAAAAGTTTATATTGTAGTATACCCAGCCTAAGCCTGGAATATTCTCCTGTTTTTCAGTTTAAATTTTTTTAAGAGTAATGTATTTGTCCATTTGCTTTCTTTAGATCAGGCCAATCTAATGATGTTCATGTAATCTCAGTAAAGAAACAAATAAAGCTTAAGCCAGATTCACATAGGGAATTTATTTATTTATTTGCCTAAGCACAGAAAATGGAGACCATTTCTTAAATTTTTTGCGTTTTCCTCTTTCTGTTTGTATGTTATGTGGCTAACTTACCTACAAGTGTAGATTAAAAGGCAGGTATATTTACTTCCAACTTGCCATCTGTAGTAGTTTGCAAAAATACCTTTGTGCAACCCTTAAATTTAAGGCTGTTTTACATACTGTATTTTAAAATAATTTGAAATGTACCACCAGGTATCTGTAATTCATTTTTTGAATAGGAGAATATTTAATATGTTGAGAAATAAGTGACGGATTTAATGGTAATATACTCAATACAAATGTGTTAATTGTAGGAAAAATGAAAATTTAGTGTAAGTTATACAGTTGTTATTATTCGTCAAAGCTTCAGTGTTTGAATATGTTCAGTTTTAAGTTTTCATTTTAAAATGAAATTTGATAGCTTTGCACTATACATTTTTTTTCTTGTTTATAATTTGCTAACACATCATAGTACAACAGAAGTACTCCCTTAAAAGTTGTATGTCTCCCTGCCATTATTTTGATTAATACACACATGCCAGGAGGCAGCTTCTCAGCCTTTTTCACAGCCAGAAACAGCAGCTTTGTTTTAAATGAGGAAAGGATGGGGCAGCTGGTTTATTTCTTTCAGAGGGAGCTTTCAGTTTCCAGATGATATATCATCATTTATCTGTGAGTAGAGAAAATAATTGTTTTAAGAACTAAAAATGTAATTGGAAAGGTTAGATACTTTAATTGTCTGAGTAGTGTTTTTTTAGTGAAAGTATTTATAAATTTGGTACTCTGTAATAGTAAAAGTACAGGGATGGGAGCCTCCAAAGCATATGCACCATTTTACATTCCCACCAATAATGCTCTGATAATAGCCATCCTAATGAATGTGAGTTTGCCTTGAGTTTTCAGACTACAGAAATATGCATAAAGTAAGTGGGTATAATTTGCTAACACACTTAGAATAGTATCTGTTACAGAGTAAACTCTTTGTTAAATTTGTTAAATAAATGCACAAATGACCAAAGTTTTTTTAAAAAGGTGCAGGAATGGAATTGATAGAAAATATTCAGAAATGATGAACTGAATTTTCTTATTTAAAAGCCCTCAGAATCTTATTGAAAATTAAAAAATAGTGACTCCAAATGAATAATTAATATTAGTATTATAAAATATAAAATTTTTTAATATATTTGAAAAGTTTTAACTAATTCAAAATTAATAATTAATATTAATATCATAAATTATTTAAAAATTTGATGTAGTAGGGAGGCTTTTCTTAAAATTGGCATGAGTTATTAAAACTTGCTTTGCTATGAATAAAATATCATTTTCTACTTCTCTTTCATAAGCAAAGCAAACTACCTTGTGAGAGAAATCCTGAGAAAAGAACAGAATGCAGGTTAGATTGAGATGAGGTAGATAGAGGAGGATCATTTTCAGATATGTCTGGATTGTAGATTTCACTGTTTCGGGTTTTTGTATTCACAAATAAGTAATTTTTAGCCACAATTGTGGCTAAATACAGTAGATATAATATTTAAAGGGAATAAACTCAAACACTATAGTTATATATGTGACTATATGATTGTTGCATCTTTGAAAAGAGCTTAGAAAAGACACACTCAACCACCCCCACACACCCATGGTTAGCTGTTTTGTGGTTAATAAGGAGACTCCTGAAATTGGTGATTAGGGGCTTTCTAATTTATACCATAAGAACATGCTATGAATGTGAAGAAAAATTTTAAAAAGACACACCAAGGGGAAGAAAAACTATGAATAAAATATATTTATAATATTAATAGCATGTTTCAATATTGATTAATATCTACATATTTATTTTGCCAGACAGCTCTGAATATTCAGACTGTTAAGTCAGGAGTACTTCTGTACCTGGACAGGTTATTCAGTTAATTGGAGTGTTGTCCTGTATACCAAAAGGTGTGATGGGTTCGATTCCTGGTCAGGGCACATACCTAGGTTACAGGTTTGATCCCCAGTCTAGGAGCATAAGGGAAGCAACCAATCAGTGCTTCTCTCTCTCTTTCTCACTCTCTTTTTCTCTGTCTCTTCCCCCTCCTTTCTGTTCCCCCTCCTCCCTCCCTCTGTTTCTCTCCCCCTCTTTCTCTCCTCTTCCCCCCTCACCCTTTCTCCCTTCCTCTCTGTACAATCAATAAACATATCTTCACGTGAGGATTAAAAAAAAAGAGAGTATTTCTGTACTTGAAGTTATAAAATGAAATATCCCTTTCACATTTATTTCTGACAATATTTCACATGGCATATATTGAAATATTGATGGATTGTGATGAACTTCTTTTAAGACAGGCTTTTAAAATAAAGTGTATTTAAAGTCAACAAATAAAATTCCTGTGCAAGTAAACCTTGAGGTCAGTCTGCTTTTTTTTTTAATCCTCACCTGAGGACATTTTCAATTTTTTTTTGTTCAGATAGAGTGGGAAGGAGGGAGGGAGGAAGGGAAGGAAAAAGGAAGGAAGGCAGGAGGGAGAGAGGGAGAGAGAGAGAGGGAGAGAGAGAGAAACATCGAAGTGAAAGGGACACATCGAGTGGCTGCCACCCACACAACCCAGCCAGGGCCGGGGACAAACTGCAACCCAAGGTACGTGTCCCTAGCTGGAACTGAACCCAGGTCTCTCTGGACCGCAGGCCGACACTCTAACCACTGAACCAAACTGGCCAGGGCGAGGTCAGTCTACTTCTAAGAAGTTAATTATTCTTGCCTTTAAATTTATGTTCAACAGCTATAGATATTTCCATACTTTATTAGCCATTCTTTGAGGGACATTTTTTTTTCTGGAAGTGAAATGATTAAACCTATTTGTATTAGGTTTAATTTTTAAAATGTTGGGATCATT